CCCCCCCCCCCCCCAATCAAACAAATAATCAGCATGTTTTAATACAACTATGGCAATCAGAAACGAAAACCTGCTTGGTCCAAAAGCTTATATGTAAATGTCGAGGTTGTAGAGATTCTAGGTGCCTAGAAAACAGCATTGACCCAACAATGCTAAAATCATCAATCCTGCTTTAGCAAAGTGCTGTTCATGAACCAACTTCCGTCAGTCAAATTGGATCCGCACTTACAAAGTGTCCTCAGGCTTTGCTAATGTTTTCCCTCTGATTGTGACGTCTAATGAATCAACCCATGGTGTTTATCTCAGGGTTATAGAGAAGAAGTGATTGTAATCATCTGAGAAGCTTAAACCTGTACATTCACAAACAACAAGTGTTTCTTTGCCAAAACATCACGTTTTGAGAAGATCGTCTCACAGTGTAATGATGAAGCACTTCGTTTCTTTTCTTTTATCTTGTGTGATGATGCCAAAGAAAAGTAAGTCAGCATATGCTCTGAAGTGGATGTAAACTTTGTGTCTGGATCTTCTAAAGATCTCAGCCTGCACTGATATCCACCCTTACACTCCTGGACTGCATCATCAATCGAGCATCGTCCTCATCCGCGATCACATACGTGAGCTCCAGTGATGCTCTGTCCAGAAATGTTTCATTTATGAGACACAAGCATCTGATATGTAACGTGCATGATGCGTGTCAGTGATCGAAGGGTTAGTTCACCCAGCCCCAGTTCTGTATTCAGTCTTGTGTCGTTCCAACCCCTGTTCTTTTCCATACAGTGAAAGGGTCCAAAACGGACAAAAAAAGTAGTCCATGCATTACATTCCAAGTCTTCTGGTGTCTTATGATGCTTAGTCCAAATTGAAGCATCTATTTACCGAAAACCTTCCCCGGTCACCATACATCTCGGCTAGTATGCGAATAGCATCGTAACCAAAGGATGCTTTGGATCATCAGAAGACTAGAATATACAGCACACAAATCACTGTCATTTTGTGTTGCACAGAAGAGTCGTTCGGGTTTGGAACGATGCCGTGGTGGATGAACGACGGCTGAATTGCTTCACTTCTTCAATGGCTTAAACCGCAACGGCTGTCTGCTGTATCCGTACAGACCACAGACAGCGACCTGTACAGATTTCATGTATCTTAGCTGCTTTAATAGGGAATAATCATAGCGCTGGTCATTTGCCGTTCTCTGGTTCAGTATGCACCCAACGCAAACATGGAATACTGTGCCTTTAGTGACCTAGTTTCAGCCTCCTGCAAGAGTTCACGCTTCTTTATCATGCTTCGTTGCCGTTCGTGTACCAAAACTATAACATATACTCTGCGTAATATCTGTAAATGTTCAGCTTCTGTGCAATCATTTTCCTCCCATGACGAGTATATCTCGACACTCGTATGCTGTTAGTGAACCGTCTGTTTGAACGACAAAGGGTAACTAGTCTTTGCATTTGGTTGTTCTTTTGTCTCTACTGTTGGCTTTCCCTGGAAGGGTGAATAGCTGGAAATCATTGAGACGTTCAAGGGGTGTGCGATATTGACAAAAAAAATTATATCTCGATATTTTCTGGGATTTTTGTTTCTAATGATAATTAGATGATTTGTAGTGTGTTTTTGAGCTGATACGTTGGCTGGTTTAAGCCCGTCATGGCTCACAAAGACGTTCATATTCTCTTTGTTGGCAGCAGTGACAGAGATTATCTTTTCTATAAATTGTCCATCTAAAGTGGCATTTATATGTATTTATACACACTGTTCAATGCAGCTCGGAGGTGGCATGAATGCAGTTACACTGCAATTACAAATGCTCTGTGTCCTAACCAAACACAATGCGACAGGATTCCAGTGACAAGCAATTTGTCAGTCCACACCAGACGCGACACGGCTATGCGACGCAACAAAATCAAATTTCACAGCCAATCAGAAGCATGTGTGGGCGGAGCCTCTCTGCAAACTCACTGCCTTCCCAGCGAAATGAATGTTTATCTAATTCATAAATATTAAACCTTATTAAAAGTATACTAAGTGACTGACACTATTGTTATGAAATACGCTTGTTAGTATGCATTGAGGTCACAGTTTAAACATAAATGTTTGC